TACTGAGTGAATGGCTGGATTAGTACATGAAATCTCGAAAATTGTGTACACTTTTCGCACGTTCCTTAAACGTGAAATAAGGGCACTAAAGAGCAAGTCGACTTAGTATTTACGTTCGTTGAACGTGCAAAAACAGACGTGACTTGCACTTACACCCTCACGCGCTTAGTAAACAGACTTGTAAATCTGTTTACCCAGTGCTTACATGATGAATGGAAAAAAACTAATTCCATTCGTATTTATATTTTAAATTTCATCGAAAAGAAAAATGATTATAGTACCGAAACGACATAAAAATAAAGATTTTACTTTCAATCTTATGAGGATCATCTTTAATCTTGCATAATCGATGAAACTGACCCGATAAGACATTATGAAACGAAGTTTTATAGGAGTATCGAGAAAGGAGAAGAAACAAGATATCTCCTACCGCGCTGCATTAAATTTACGGACACACAGGCGCGTATTGCGTGTACGTATGCAATTAGGTACGTGACATGGAGATCCTGATGCAAACAAAAAATTGTACATCGCCAAATTTGGCCAGATTGCTCGCTTTCGCAGTTTAATAAAGACAGAACTGTCAAGACCGAATGATATTATCGCCGGTAAGCCGTGTTTGGTTTTCAGTTGTAAAAAGTAATAAAATCTTGAGACACAATCAGCGTCTTATAAGTTTGCGAACTTCGAAATAATTAATCGCGCACTTGTGATACAACATTCAGCAGCGAACGACTATTGCGTCACATCGCATTCGAACCAATATTTGCGCATAAATAATTATCCTTCATTTATAAATTTAATGACGTACGTAATTTACTATTAATTTAATAGTATATATGAATTGCAACTGCGTATTGAGGTTGTAAACGGAACGTGAAAAAGATACACTTTTATTTTTATGGTATTCCATGCCATGACCGTCAACAGTAATCGATAAATTGCATGCTAATCGGAGCGTAACAGTATTTTTACGGTACGAAATTAATTCAATTTTACATTACAAAATGCACAAAATGGCTCCTTGGTTTCGCGCAAAGAATATAAATGTATTGAATATCGTATTTATGAAAATATACCGAAATTCTATCTAATATTTAATAAAGAGTTGATGGAAAATATGGATGGAGTCAAGTTTTAATTATATGAATAATATATAGCTTACTAAACTCATATTTGTATCGAAATCTTGAACTCTCTCTGCATTGTTCTCAACTTTAGTTTCGATTCATAAATTATCGTAACATACTGAACCGAGCAGTAACAAATGTCGAAATGAGAGATGCACAATTTTCGTTTGACGTATTATAAAATTTTTAAACTCCTCACCTGATCAGAGCAGCATCTATGCTAATTCACACCTCACGTCGATCCTCACGTTGATATTGTCACTGATATGCATTAATTTCTTGACACACTCGCGCACACACTCGCGAACCTGTCACTGATATGTTTCGTTCACGATTTAATGAAAAATTTACACATCGACGACTGTAAAAAAGGACGGCTCGAGGTAAAGAAAATATGATTTTGACGGAATTGGAGGGAAGCGCGAAGAAGGCGAGAAACTATAAAGCTGCGTGCCGAACAGCCACCCTCACGGCAGGCGCGCGAGCCCACTACTGAACTCGGTGGACACTGGCTGTTAGCTTCGCGCACCCGAACTCCCCGTTCGGGAGTAACTCGCTTTTTAGCGGCACAACAACCGTCGTTTTCGTTAATTACAAACATTTTCCAACAAATTAACCGCACTTCTGACTTCAACATCCACTCAACTAGCGATCAACACGATCAATCAATCGATTTCCATTCACAAATCGGCTTCTACCGTAAGTGTAATCGATACTCGTTTGATGTTCGCGGGAGTATCGATACTTGGCATTTTCAAAAAAGTTGCGTGTGCAGAACACAAATCGTATTATACGGAGTTTTGGTTCGATGTTATTAAAGATAATTTAAATTCTGAATATCTGTCTTTCAAAAAGGAGAACATTTCATTGACCGCACTATGATCCTTTCCATCCGCAATCGATATTATTTCATTAACTATTGATACTGTCATGACACGATTTTTGTAATTAGATTTCCAACACGCTAATACTACGATTCAAAGCATATAATATAATCTAGCCATTTAATACCAAATTTTAATTAATTAATCTCGTAAAAATCAAGCGAGATAAAATTATACATAGTACAATATACTCAAAGGGATAACAAAGCAGATAATACGCTTAATTTAAAAAAATTCATAGAAACTACGTCAATAATGTAGGTACCACAAGCTGGTTTTCGATGAAATACGATTATTAGGATAATTGTGAAATAAAACTTCATTCGATTCTTTTTTACTTGTCTTTTAATTAATTCTTTTGATGGAAATAAAGTGAATACAATTTACAGCCGAGTCGAACGGGTACATGAACGTAAATGAAGCCGATTATATTGAAAGAAATGATAAGAAACGAACATGAGATTTATCCTGTATGTAAATACATGTACATAGTAATATAAATAATTCATTTCATATTTGGCGCAGATCACTTTTAAATTTCTATAATCTACAACCAGTGCTGTCCTACACTTCAAAACTTATTGTTAGGGAATTCTCCTCTCCCTCGAATTTCATTGTCATAGAAGAATGGTACAAACCGAAATTGAAAACAAACAGTTTCTACTAAAATGAAAGCATTCTTATTTCTTTCTGAGCATAGAGGCAAATTCATTGGAAGAAAATAGTATAAATTGTATAAATAGGAAAGTTTGTTAAATGTTCACCATGGACAGCACTGATCCATACGTAATATCGCGTATACATTTGCGAATTAATTGTGCTGACAATAAAAAAGTACAATAGTTATGTCTACATACACATGTAATTACTAGTACAAAATTTTTCGATAAATTAACTTTTTATGCGTAAATTACGAGAATGATGAAACAAATAGTAATGATAGTACTTAAATAATATTTTATAAACATCTTACTCATTATATACGTATGTACATCATTATAGTATCGATTGCATTAAAAAATATGGAAATTGTAGCAGGGTAACCACAGTGGTGCGTTCAAGCGACAAAGGGAGAAAAATGCACGCCAAGTTTATACGTTAGGTAATTTCTACAAAAATAAGTTCATATAAAAGAAAGCGTATATATCGAATCAATTCTCTGCTACTACTCGCATTCGTCGTTCTAAGATATCTTGATCTAATTATCACCATATTTGCTTTTATTGCTCTTGTAATACCACCCGCTTTATAAAAATATTTATTCTAGCAACAGCTGAATTACTTTTGAGCAAGCGTACGCAACAAGCTACACAAACATTATTAATAATTGCTCGCATTGTCACCCTCTGTCACTTGTCACAAGGATTTATGTATTATCGACAATTTTCGCCTTGTTCTACGATCGCGTAGAGCTCACGTCTCGATCAAAACGAAGCAATTTCTACGGCTAGTTTAATTCAACACTTGAACTACATACAATAATAGATATAAAATATAAAATAAACTACTTAAATGCATTTGGCATGTCTTGTTTATTATTAATAATTGCTCGCATTGTCACCCTCTGTCACTTGTCACAAGGATTTATGTATTATCGACAATTTTCGCCTTGTTCTACGATCGCGTAGAGCTCACGTCTCGATCAAAACGAAGCAATTTCTACGGCTAGTTTAATTCAACACTTGAACTACATACAATAATAGATATAAAATATAAAATAAACTACTTAAATGCATTTGGCATGTCTTGTTTATACATGAAGCCCATCTGTTCTAATCGGAATTATTGATTAACATCAATCTCTTCAAACCCTAAGAACAAATGACGTCACTCCCTTGGTTACATCGACTTTATACTTACAATTAAAATAATTATTACAACTTTGGACTCTTGTTGCGGCTTAATCCCGCATCGATTCTTTAATTCAGTGTATAAATATATCTAACTGTGATCTTTTATCTAGCATCGCTTATGAAAATTAAATTTACAATGTTAGATTTGATGTGAACACACTGATTGCTCAATTTGCTACTACTGGCAGCTGTTGTCCTACCTACAACTGACCGGTGTTTGATATTTCTATTTTCTCATCAAATCCTGTTTTGAAATATCGTTCACCTATTTGCATCCAACATGTATCCAATAATTTCTCGATCCCTAATCAATCAGTTTTATACGCATTTTTTTATCGACTTCGTTCACGTTGTAATTCTATTTCAAACGTTAGGAAATATAATGTTTTATGTCTTCTAGTTCATCTAAACAATTATTTTCTATCCATTTTGGTAATAACGAAGTCACTGTAGTATTTATTACGGATTTCAAATCCATTCTTGTGAAATATGATGAAGAGATATCAAACTGTTACATTTCCATACTGTTTTGTATCTGCATCACCGTGTTACGTATATTTTTTATGTTCTACTTATATTAGTTTTTTTGTGGCCAATAATTGTTACTTGTGGCCAGTAATTTGAATCTGAAGTATGTAATTTGGAAACATTTTATGCGTTCGTTTCTATTCATCTTATGGAGCTTTTTGTATGATTCAATTATAAAATTTCACTTAGACAAATATTTTTATTTGAATCACGTATTTTTGGCTTTAAGCTACACTAGAAACAAACATGTTCGAATTTTTTGTGTAGAACTTGTTCTTCTATCTTGTGTTAATTATAAATTAGATATTTACAAAACTATCTAATGTTTCACTGTTGGAACTGCTAATTAAACTGCTAAATGACATCATCGCTTCCAGTTTTAAAATAATTTTTTGTAAAACAGCAATATTTTTATGACATATGTTCCCACTTACATCTCAATAGTTACCGCGGAATTCGTTGATCCAGATATTTCACAGACACGATTTAAAAAAAACATAATTTTCTATATAAAAAAATAATAATAATAATATTCAGGAATACTGTTTCAAGAAAATGTTTCACTACATACGATGATTTTAAACAATAATAATAATNTGTCTAAAATATCTCGAAAACAGCCTGTACTACGAGACACAGATTTATCGTCGTTAAAGAATTTCTCTTATTTAAAATAAATTTCAATATAAATTAATTTTTTTCAACTCTATTATAAAATAAATCAATGCTTTTCGATTCTATCGACGATAAAACATCATTCCGCGCATTTCGAGCATCAGTCCGGCTGTCAGAAGCACCATCAGCCTCGTCTTGTGAACTATCATCCTGATCTGTATTCTTGAAGAAGTCAAATTCAAAAATTGCCACCTTTATCGGCTCACGCTGATACCAGTGTTGCTCCGACGGGTTGGTAGTTCTTGATGCTGTGGTCTGTTCGCCTAGAAAGCTCTGCTGATATACAGAGGCGGGACAAAAGAAAAACAAAAGCACTGCTACAGATACAGCAAACCACTACCGAAGCCTTCCTAGCATCGTGTTTAAATAGCCAAGGGTAAAGCCGCGTATTATGCAGTGAATATAAACTAATTTCATAGGAAACAATCATAATTAATAAGCAAATGGATGATAAACTATGAAAAGAAAAATCAATATGTATACAATTAAAGAGGAATACACTATTGCTACTGCTGTTCCATTTTGATTCTATAATTTTCAATTAAAAAATAATCATAATAAGCCATGCGATATTAAGGTCGGTTTTCTATCATAAAATTAATATATAATGACAATTACCGCTAGCCAAGGATGATCGAGTACGTCTTCTGCAGTGAATCTTAATTCAGGCTGCGTTTGGAGCATATTTGAAATTAACTGTTTAGCAGAGTCTGAAATTTCATCCCAGAACGGAGATCGGAAATCATATTGGCCGCTTAGAATGCGCTCAAATAATTCTTCTTGCTTATTTTCGGGTGAAGCGAACGGCGGAAAACCGCAAAGTAGAATGTACAGTATCACTCCAACTGCCCATACATCGATCTAAAATAATTCAATTTCATGTTTCATGTTCCAGAAACTAAATGAGCAAATATGTACAATAAAAAAAATTAATGTTACCTTTAAACCATATCCCGTTTCTGCTAGAATTTCTGGCGCTACGTACGTAGGCGTACCGCAGACTGTATATAACGGTTCTCTTACGACCTGAGCAAGTCCAAAGTCACATAATTTCAAACATCTGACATGATTTCCTTCCATTTCTACTAAAAGATTCTCGGGTTTAACATCACGGTGTACTATATGATGTGAATGCAAGTACGCTAATGCTGAAGTTAGATGGCCGATCATTACGCTAGCTTCAGCCTCGGAAAATTTAGTTGCCGCAGCTATCGCATCAAACAGATCTCCATCCTAAAAGAATGTAAACATTAAGTATTTTATTATTTAATTTGAATTTGTTACGCTTAAAATAAAAATATGTTCAAACCAACATACTTTTACGAGCTCCATAACTAAGTACAACTGATCAGTAGTCTCCTGTTCAGCTATCAAACTAATAATATTTGGATGACAAACTTGTCGTAAAATTGACACTTCGCTTGCCCACATTGTTTCTTTACCTTGACCTTTGTATTTCTCTACAATTTTCATTGCATATTCTGCACCTGTAGATCTATAAGATATTTTTTTATAAATCTGTACTAATTTTAATTGTACTGTTTCATAAATGTTGAAATATTACTTACTTATGGCAACAACGCCTAACGATTGCGAAGTTACCTTCTCCAATAACATGTCCAACTGTATAATGTGAACGCAAAGGCTGTGGTAATATTAACGAAGATGGGCTTGGTGTTCTCACTTGAGGAGTAGTAAGCATCTTTTTCCCGGATTTACGAGGCATTCTAGGCATTGGCCCACTTTGCCTTTTCGATGTCCATGGACATCTTCTGAAGCTCTGAACACTCTTAGACTCTTCAAAATCTAATTCAAAATCCTCTTGACATGACTTTTCAGGACCGTAAGCTATAAAGATGTCATCGTTCTCAAAAAACTGTTCCAATGAGGTAACTTGTTGTCCTGAGAGAGTAAAAACTTTTCTCACTGCTCCAGTATCTAATTTAACTGCTTCAGTAATTGCTTCCATCGCATGTTCCAAACTTGGAGCATTTCTTTTATTTAGCAAAAGACGTACAACTTTCCTAGGTTTTGTTCCATGGCGAATTAAAGTTATTATTCTTGCTTTCACACATAATGGTATTGCACTTATTTGTCTACCGGTACACGCTGGAGATTGTGGTAATCCAGACAAAGAACTCCCTCTTCTTACTTTGGTAGATGTGTATTCGACTTTTTTGAAAATCTCCCCTTGTCCAGAAACTACGTAACATTTACCATCTTCTAAATCACTGATGTTTTGAACCTTCTTTCCATCCATAGTATAAATTGCTCTAACACCATTAGGTAATGTGACATTCGATGTCAGAGCTCTTGTTAAATCTGTAGCTAAACTATCAAAACTTCTATATCTTTCCGGAGTCACAGCCATCACGATACCAGTATAAAACTTATCTCCATTTCTAAAAAATCTCACTCTTTTCGCCTTTTTAGTTGTTGGTGTTCGAAGAACATTTAAAGAATGCCTTGAACTAATATCTAACATTCTCTCATCTATGCTCATGATAGTAGTAGAACCTAAATCTCCTCCTCCAGAAAAATTACTATCACCAGATGGTGAAGCACCTTGACTCAATGGTTCTTCCATCATCCTGGACATAAAATGTTTATAATGTATACACTATTATTAATATACCAAATATGCAGATGATTAGAAATAATTTACATCACATTAATACAAAATTATTATACCTCTTAAATTTTGACTAATATTTTACACATTGCTATTTTGTAGTTTTGACACATAACATGCATATACAAACGAATAAAAATCTAAGACGTTTGTTTCTAGTTGCTTCACACGTTTGCTTTCAGTTTCAAGAACTTGTCAGATTTAATTAAAGTATTTCAATCACGAAGGTTATAATAGTACAAATTTTACGAAGAAACAGAAGATATAGGAATAATGAAACTATATAATTTGAAATAGTTCAAAATTCCTTTGATTTTCCTACTACACATTTAAAAATTCATGAATGTAATTATTCCGAATGTCAAGAATATTTATTCCCCTTTCTAACCTATTTAACCTTCTCCAACTGCATCAGTGTGTACACTGGTGTACACGAATAACAGGTACGTAAAAACACTAATACATAGAGTCATTTGTTGATAATTCAAATTTACTAGCTGTCGAGATGTCTGTGCACATACCTGCCCGACGAGCAGAATTAAGAAACAGATGAAAAGTCAACTAATGAACGAATGAATCACCACTGAACTGACATTTTCATAGCAACCATGACGGGAATACTAGATAATAAAAGCGAGAAATCTCGCTTTCGAGTTACATTAGTAGAATTTCCCTTTCTATTAAGCCAAAATCTTATACGATTGTTATTACTTTCTGTTTCTATCGCAACACACTGATCTTGTTTTTTTTTTAAATACAGTGAATAATTTGACCTGCCAAACACTATAAATAAAGTAGCTTGTCAAAGAGAAACCGGAACACCGGAACCGGAAGTATAAAAAAATTAGAAAGGTAGAACATAAAAATGAGTAATTGGAATTCTTCTTCTCAACCCAATTATTTATGATTTCATTTCAGAGGAATACATACTTCTGATTGTAGTGTTTCCTTTACGTTTGTCACTCAAATACCGAATATATGCGATGATATAGCGTACTTTTACAATTGTATGACAACACTCTACTGACGATTCGATAACACTTCAAATTATACAAAAATTGTTGATGACACAGCATAACAATTAAACATTTGAAGTAAATATCAGAAACTGTAATAAATATAATTCTACAATTTGGAAGAAACTAACTTCAGATTCCTTAACATAAATCTATGTGTTTGTGATTAAACATATGTATGCGTATCAATTCCGCGCATACGCTGTAATAGGAGCGCGAGAAACCAGGCAGGTCTTCAATTTAAAACCCACTTGATGCACAGAAGTTAGTCCACATACAGGATGATATAATAAGGTCCTCAAATTGCTCAATAAGAAGCTCACAAAGTATTCGACTTATAGTAAACATAGTAGTTTCAAGAATAAACCACTAAATCAATTTCTACTGAGCTAAGCCAACGACACTGCCGCCGTTTTTTATACACTACGAACGTAGTGGGGATATCATGGACCTATCAGGTCCATGGGGGATATACACCCCCAATGCATTTGAATGCAAGTTATTAACATATGCATAACTAATAAAAACAAGAAGTCCCTTAAAAATCTGTGAGATCAAGAGCAAAACAAATCTTCTCATTTCTTTATTCAGTTCATTAGTACTTCTATTAGACATTCGTGTATTGCAGATTTTTGCTTTGATTTAATTAGAGTATCTAATTTAACTTGATGAATTGACAAAGAAATTATTTTAAATTATAAAATCTGTTATTGATAATATTCATTTAGGTAAAATCATTCATGTTTCATGAACTTGTAAATATATTAAAGTATTTCTATGTGGAATGTTTGGAGTTGAGGCGCGGGTCGTATCAATGTTAATTTGAGCCATGAAGACTAAAGTCTTCATGATTTGAGCGTTAAAATCATTTCCATGGGAATTTGAATATACAAGCGTAAAATGTGAAAACGAACAAATTTAAAATACGATCTGTTGATCCGCACCTGACAGTACGATCCAGAGAAAGATAGACGTAGATTGCGATGCAGCCGGTGTTCGTCGGTAACGAAACAGGGCCGTAACGCGCGAAAGGTGCATCGAGTCCGGTGGAGGGAGATTTCACAATGGCAAGAGCGAAGCGACCGTTCTCCAGAAGAGCCGCAGGCAGAGTAGTCTCGCTCGGTGTGTGTTTGTCGGCGGTCATAGTCTGGCGCGGGTGGATGTGTTAACAGCGAAGGAGTAAATCGAAGGGAGCCACTCTATAGTGTGTGAAAAGCAAAAGCGCGTAGCTTTTACATTGATACAACGAGAAATATTATTTATACAAAAGGAACAGCGACGAGCGCGCGAGTGTCGGTGACCGAGGATGTATCGTCAGTGAAAAAGTGCAACAAAAGACGCCGTGAGTGCGAGTGTCCACGAATTTTAACTGAGGATCCTTTAAAACCGGTCGACGAAAATGCGGGCGCGATACGTCGTGGCAGGTGAGTAAGGCCCCGGGCATGTTCGCCATTCGTGCGTCGTTTCCACTCCGCGTTTCTTTCAGCTCACCGCCGCGTCGCCGTGTCTGCCGATCGCCTCGCGATCTACGACTCCGAAATGCAAACTTAAATCCTTTATCGACAGCGTGATCATCGATCGATGATCAGATAACAGTAAAAAGTTGGATCGGCATCGATCGTTTCGTGGCGGGTAATCTATGCTAGGTTCAAATTTATACGTGGATCAACGCAAACGATGAACTCAGAAGTGAATTCGTGACAGGTGGGGAGGTCGCCCTGCCGAACCGTTCCGCACACCTGATCGTCTACCTGAAGTACTGTTATACCTCTGCGTTCACTAGGATAGATTAAAATAAATGTCGTTTCGCTCCATGGAAAACTTATGCGGACATCCTTGAAGGCTTCCCGTTAAATTTAGTAATTTCCTACCCAGTTTCTTCTCGACGCTCGTTTATTCCTTAGTACAGTTCTTACAAAACGAACGCTCGCGTGTTATGCAAACGATTGAGTACACCGCAATAAAAATTAATGAACACTAGTATTAAAATATTTACATTAAACAACATCATAGAGATCGCTCGATGCTGTTCGGTCTGTTGAAGTCTCCGTATTCGAATTCAAGATTCCATTGCGCTACGTAATTCTTACTCTTATAAGCTGCCAAATATTGTATTTCGCTGTCTTGATACGGTGCCTTATACGTAGGCAAAGGAGTGAAACGCGGAATTGCTAGAGTATAATCGATAATGTTAGTGCAATGACCAGGTAGCCTTGTAACATCTAACAAACGCGTAAAATTTTATTTCTGTTCCTATAATCAACCACGTTGCCATAGTGGCAATAAAATTCATTCACATCTGAAATGTGCATGTAACAAGATACTACTCTGTAGGTGTCCATATAATATAGCATTCGCAAAACAGACCAGTACGATATCGATCGTTTTAAATCTCATTGTGATATCTTGCGTCTTTCGACGAGTCCTCGTTACCGTTTCTTCCACGCATAAGAACTAAATGCACTTTAGTCGAACATGAAATTTTATTAAAGGCGTTAATTATTCCTGAGCGCTTCAGGTTACTTTCCTTTTATATCATCTCTCCGTACGCGTAATTTCATTCGTGAAAGCTTCTAAAAGTCCGCCTCTAACTACAAACAACGCCTGCCAGGCGAGAACCAAATCAATTTCTATGCTCTTCGCTCTCGATTAATGCTAATTAACTTAAGTGGCTGCTGAGATTAACAGGAGCTGTTAGGGACTCGAGTAAAGTAGATGCCGATATTACGTGGTCACTGAATTCTTGGCGAAAATCCACGCTGGGAAGTCGACCTGCCGAGCGTGAGACTAAACGAAACTGTCGGTTATTATACGAATTTTCGAGGAAGGGAAAAGCGTATTTCGACTCGTCTAGCGCAGGTGGAAGCCACGTAGGTGCATTAACGTTGGTCCCTCGCTTCACGCTCAGGTGCGTGCCTTGAACGACACACGCATTCTATATACATGCGGACCCAGTCCCCATCAAACAGAGGCCTCGTATTCGTTTCTATACCTGCTGGACGATGTTAGTCATTTTTCATTTCTTCTTATCGTCAGCGAAAAAAGAGTCGGCCAGATTCCCGTAACAAGTGCCTCGTTTTTATTCGACGCAACAGAAATTTTACCGCGACGAAATAGTTGCGCCTGAGACACCGTTAGAATTCGGTATAAATTATTTGTAACAGCTCGACCATATGGACATTATAATTCCTGGAGTGATGGAAAGATTTATATCTTTCCGTTATACAATAAATACAAATATCTTAGTGTACAGTTATACATAACATAAATTGTTACATAAAATATGTAGATCAATGGGATAACGTATCGTTAACGTGCTGTTATAATGGTATTTCTTCAAATGGAAATAAAAATATCGCACGCGGTCCGTTTCTCTAAGAATTTATTTTTTCAAATCATGCGACTATCGCGCCGGCATAATTTATTACTTGACCGACTTTATATGTTCAATCAATTCCTTCTTTAGTACGCATTCGTTGGATATGCAACTGCGACATTCCAAAAGATTGAATTTTTTGGTATCACCCGAGCGTAACGAATAGAGAAGGAACATAGATCCAGCCATTCGTCACTAACGAATTCAATTCGTATATACGACTTTGTCGTGACAATTAGGTCGTCAGTAATAATTAACCTACACATAAGATATGCTAATACGAATAGGAAACTCGGTGCATTGTTTAACATTTTAAACACATGACATAAGTTCAACGTCTCACTTCCTCAAGTCTGACTATGTCTTATAAATACAATCTTTTCTTATCGGTATGTTTCTATGCCATTCCTGTTTTTCCTCGAACGCTTTCAGAAGATTCTCCTGCTTAAAACATTTTGCATACAATTCTGAAGTCAAGTAAATAAATAATAAATACTTCCTGGAGAGATCTCCATTTACATAGATTCGTTAATGACGGAAACCATATGGCTATTGGATATATCAACGTTAACACTATTATCATTACTGAGCGTGCGTAAGGTATAAAATGTCGTAGAATAACAAGTATGCTCCTTAACGGTAGGTATGATTAACTTTAGCGTAACTGTATTAGTCATTGCTTCCTGAATTCTTCGGCTTCCTCGTACGCTTTGTAGAAGACAAACCGTTTCCTCATTATCATACTCCAAACTATTTTTATTACATTTTATTTTACGTCCGATTAATAGTAGCGGTATTGGAATGCTCGAATAAGTCGACTTTACTTCTCTAAACAGTTTTATTACTTTTAAGTTTTCAAAGATTTTTGGAAGTTTCACGTGACTGTCGCTACGGGATATCTGGTTATTATCAAAGCCAAAAGGAGACTGGAAAACTCTTACATCGTACTCGAGTTCGGGGAATGTCTTTTTTCTGAAAGAATTCACTCGGCATTGGTTGAAGGATTCCACTGTGGTTCTCAAGGGCCATGTGCTACTCTTATTGTCCTCCCTGTTTGGCCTCTGTTCAGGATTATTCGTAAACCTATTTTCCCACAAAATTGTCCGGAGGGACGATATTATACCATACTTCTGTTCGCGTGTATGCTCGTTATTTAACGAATATGTAAATTACGTTCGCAAAGATGTCACATGTGAAGTTGATTTCTCCCGAATGAACGTGTATGCCGTTACCCTTTGGAACGGACAAAGAGACAAATCCAATTCTAGTTGATCGTTGAATCTCTGTTATCAGATCCAAAGCGTTTCTCTGGGTTCTATTTTTATCTCACAACATACCATTCGCATGTAAATGCGTTTTGCGTGCATTTAGATAAGTAATGCGATATGCACAATGAAAGTACCACCTCGTCCCGTGACTCATTGCGGCTTCAATTTTTCTAACAATGGTAAAACTGGTTTTAGGGTCTAACCGTATTAAAGTGGGGCAATAGCGTCTTGGAGTTCTGCTCGCGTTGACTGAACCATCGACGTGTACGGAAAATCAAACAACATTTCCAACTACCGCCTCTTTTTAAAGTAAAAAAGATATGCACGGATGCAAAAAGAGCGAACTCCGTTCATCCTTGTGCTACTTTTTCTTCTGCAAAACCCTGTGCCAGATTTAATCATCAATCAGAGCTGTAGCTAGAACCGGGGGAAAAAAATAGCGACACGTGGGCGTGTTACATAATCTCTCGCGTGGGTCGATAGATAATTAAAATTCATGCAATTCGTGGTTCATGCCACCTTTCCATCGACGCTAAAGGGCGATCGCATCCTATTTAATGTCCAATGGAAAACAGCTCCCATTGAAATTGCGCGACGAACTTTCCATAGGACGACCGGAGCAGCTTTGTTATTCCCAGAATGCACGTATTACCTACATATACGTGTATCTATTGATGCATGTATGTTTCACTTGGAAATCCGATAGTTCCGCGAGCAGACCTCCTTTCTCGACGTTATTCAACGAAATTTTATATTTGGAAATGAATTTATTAAGCCACTCTCAAAAATTTGATTCATGGCGCGTCGCGATTCGTGATAAAATCTCGGATGTTTAATTTGCACGTGCCAAGCTAACGATCTATATACATACATAAAATACGGTAATGCACACGTATATATATAGACATTTAACGTGTCATTCATAAATTGCTTGTTTTATATTGGTTTCAATGGTCGTCGATGGTTATACATATTCAGCACCTAATCATAGTTACGTTATGTATGTATGTGGTTCAGCTGCGAACTAGGTTCGTTATAAATTTAACAATATGCAGCAGAGTTGGAAATTATTACAGAGTTTAATACATTCACCGGAAATTTCATAAGTTTAAACACTTGAATCTCGATGATCGATGACGCGACTGTGATTTATCGTTAAATGATTTCGGGAATAAATAATGCAGAGCACTCGTCGGTGTCTGAAAAGCGTGTCTCCCGCGTATGCGATGCAAGAGACGGCTCCCTTTTTCCCTCGACTCCCGTGTCATCCTTCGCTTGAGTGCCACGCACTCCGAGTACCGTCCTTTTTTCTCCGGGATATCCTTCCTCCTGCGACCGACGCCTGTTCTACGGAGACGCTGGAAGTCTCTCGTCATTGCGAACACAAAAGAATCACCACGGCTCGCCACGGTTCTCATTCGTATTTCTCTCTCTCCGTTTATCTCTCTCTCTCTGTCGTTTTCAAAGGTGGAGCGGAAAACAATGGTGCGTGGTGCACATGTATTATTTCAATACGTTCTCGAGACTTGGACACCCAATCTAAATCTCACAATCAGCGGTATTATACCCTCTCTTTCGTCCTTCTTCGTTTTTTAACATATTTGGCGAGCTACCAGTTATCACGTCTCGAACGTATGCACAATGACTCACGTTTGAATACGGTGAATCAAATTTGAAAAATTTAATCAGAAGCCGCGCCTTATCAAAGTGCTAACAACGGCTCGTAATGTCAACTATTCTATTAATATTCGGTGAAAGGATTGATCGTCATCGTGCGGAG